CCAGGAGATTGTTTCTTGAACAGACTTTCCAGCAGATATTGCTTAACAACTGTGTGGTGCTCTCTAAACTCCTGAGCCTTCAGGGGATCCACCATGTTAATCAGGCTGCTTTTCAGCTTTCCCTGTATCAGACTGAGGATTTAGTTTTCTTGGGTCTGCTAAGTCAGTTATTAATCATCTACTTACCTTTTAACTTTCAAAATTGCTTCCTCCCTTTCTGTTTTGTCCATGTGTGTCTTGTTGCTCCTGATTTTTGTCTCTTTACTATGTCTTAGGGTATCTGGAGGGGGAGAAGTGGATGTGATTGATATTCAGCTGGAAGGCCCGAGTGTTTCCAATGTCCTGGATTCAAAGGACTTCTATAGCAGATTCTTGCCAATCTTCCTGTTTGTTCATCTAGTCACTATATTTCATGGAAATTACTTTCTTTCTTTACTCAAAAATCTCATCAGCTCTCCACTGCCTAGAATAGTCAAAATTTCTGAGTGTGGTCTTGGATAATCTGACCTTAGGATACTTTTCTAGTATAGGACTCATTACACCATCATTCACCCATATCCAAAACTGCAACAATTTTAGTTTCAACAATTTAGTTTCAATGGTATCCATCACTTTCTGTCTTAAGGGAAAGGAATAAATTATGGAAAGGAGTGTGAGAAGACACTGGAACCAGACTACCTAGCTTAACTTAGCCATTAACTTAGCTCTACCACTTTGCCAATTGGATGATCTTAGGCAAGTTGCTTAATCTCCTCATCTGCAAAACAGAGCTCATAATAGCACTCACCTTCTAACATTACCATAGGGATTTGCAGAGCACTTAGAACAGTGGCTGGTATTTGGGAAATGCAATCTAAACATTACAATTACAATTCCCCACACATCTGTCTCCCATAGGAAATTATTAAGCTCTTAGAGAAAAATTTCATTTATTCAACATGTTTGGTGTACTTATGATGTGGCAGTTGTTAGCCAATGGGGACAACGTTAAAAAAAAAAAAAAAAAAAAAAAAAAAACTTGGCAAATGGGAAGACTGTTGAATAATGATTCAAACAGAATGTGACAAATGCTATACTCCAGGAAAAAAGAATAGTGCAAAAAGTGCAGAGACTACAAAGCAAGTAAAATCTAATGGTCCAGGACAGATGGGGAATTCTTTCTGACCTAACATTTGAGACGGGGCATGAATGAATATGTAGGGCAAATGCTGTGTTGCTAAGAACCATGGCAGGGAAGAACCACAGGTGGGGCTGAAAAGACAGGCTGGGGCCCATTGCACAAGTCTGCATGTCATTGTCTGGTGTTTGTCAACCTCACCATCCTAATACAATGGGTGTGCCACATGTTACTAACAATAGATGAAATGTGGCTACCTGACATTGTAAAAATAAATCAGGACACACTCCCAGGGTCTAAGAAAAGAAGCCAGACACAAAAGAATACATACTCTAGGATTCCATTTACATAAAAGTAAAAAAACCAGGTAAAGCTAATTGATGTTTCCTCCATTCAGGATATAGCTGTCTTTAAGGGTGGATAGTGACTGGAAGAAGAACTAAGGGGGACTTCTGGGTACCACTAGTGTGTTTTGACTGGGGTGCTGGTTCCACTGTCATGCCATTTCCGAAAATTCAACATTCTGTATACTCACGAACAGCTTTTCCGTGTCTTTTATGCTTCAAGTTAAATAGAGTATATTCATGACACTTTATGCTAACTTGCTTTTTATTGGGAGAAGGATTACAGATGGCCCTCTGGGAATCCCCTGGGAGCTCACTAGGTAGATAAATATTGCTCATTACATGTTCCTTTATGGCCTAATCTGAGAACAGCTTGTGGATGCTCTAAAAAACCAAGTATAGTCACCATATAACCAAGGGTCACCTTCAGCAACAGCAGGGCTTGGCATGTGTGTAATGAACTAACGTGTACTCAAAAGTCAGTTACACACTTGGCACTCCTGCCAGATTGCTTTCCCCTCATTTTATGTACAATAAAGACGGTGGTTTCTTATTAACCTTATAAAGAAATGTAGGCGCAAAACACATCTGCATTTGTAAAAGTTATAATTCATTCAATATTTATGTATCCTAGGGAACATTTTTTTCTCAAGTTTTTTATTAAAAAAATTTTTTTTAACCCAGTTACAGGCAAAAGAGCACAAAAAGATACGATAAGTCAAATCCATTTCAGATCTCTCTCGCAAGGTAACTACTGTGTTCTCTCTCTCTCTCTCTCTCTCACACACACACACACACACACACACATATATTTTGGGGGTAGTATTGAGAATTGAACCCTGGGCCTTGTACATGCTTGGTAAATGTTCTACCACTGAGCTACATTTCCAGCCCCTTTTATTTTGGGGGGACAGGGTCTCTCTAAGTTGAAGAAGCTAGCCTAAGCCTAGCTTGCAAACCTCCTGCCTCAGTCTCCTGAGGTCACAAGCATGCACCACTATGCCTGGCTTCTCTTACACATTCTTAAATACACATTTTGTATGGTCATCCCTCTGTATTATGGATTCAATCATAATAGATTGAAAATATTTGAAAAAACATTACATCTGTACTGAATGTATATAGACTTTTTTCTTGTCATTATTTCCTAACACAGTGTACATAGTATTTACATAGTATTAGGTATAAGTAATCTAGAAGGCTGTGGGTAGGATATGTGCAAATAGTATGCCATTTTATATAAGGGACTTAAATACCTGTGAATTTTGGTATCTTGGCAAGGTGTGTATGGATGGTGTAGGTACTGAAACCAACTCTCTGTAGATACCAAAGGATGACTATATAAATACATGGATGTGTATTACTCCTGCCCCACTACTTTTCTAAATAAATGGGTGCCCATTATATCCATCTATTTTTACAGGAGATGTTTCATATCTATAAAGCATGGATATACTCATTCTTTTCACAGGTATACATTCCAATGATATTTCAAGTCTTTTGTGTTTTACAATGTGGCATTGAACATCCTTGAAATCACATTCTTTGATGTGCTTTTTAAGTTATGATAGAGCCAAGCATAGTGGCATATACCTGCAGTTCCTGATCCTCAGGAGGCTGAGGCAGGACAATCACCTGAGTCCAGGAGTTCCAGATCAGCCTAGGCATTTCAAAAAATAAAAATATTAAAATAAATAACTTATGGTAGAAACTGAATGAATGTGTATTTTTACTAACAGTGTACTTTTAACAAACTTTTTGACCTCTGCATTTCTATTTGATTAACATGGGCACCTCATTATTTTAATTAGCAATATTCTATTCAGTTCCACTGACCTCTCTATTTCTACCTTAATAAATATTAAACTGTTTTGATTACCATATATAATCAATATTAAATCAAATATTAATCAGAAGATAAACTTTAATGTCTAGTAGATTAAGTCTTCCTTATATTCCTTATATTTTTCTACAAAGGGGACTTTTACAGAGTATTTTAAGGACATCATTTTAGATTGCTTTAATGACAGAGTCACCAGCATAACACAGTTGCTGCTCATATTACACAAATCTAATAAACATAAGAAAAAATCCATGTACTGCTTCTGTTCAGAAAGACAGAATTATACATACCACAATAATTTTAAATCAGAAAATTACCTGATTAGAAAAAATTTTTAGAAGAATCACATTTAAAAGCTGGAGGCATCACAATGCCACACAGCAAAACTATGGTAATAAAAGCAGCATGGGACTGGCACACAGACCAATGGAACCCAATAGCAACTCCACAAATTAATCCACATGTTTACATCCAATTGACTTTCAACAAAGGTGCCGAGAACAGTTATTGAAGAAAGGATAGTCTTTTTAATAAATGATAACTAGAAAAACCGAACATACATATTTAGAAGAATTTAGAAGAATGAAACCCCTACCTCTTACCACATGCAAAGATCAATTCACGATAGAGCAAAGACCTAAATGTAAGACTGGAAACTATAAACTACAAAAAAAAAAAAAAAAAAAAAAAAAAAAAAAGGGGAAAGGTTTAGGAAAATTTTGAAAAAACCCCAAAAAAAAAAAAAAAAAAAAGGAAACAAAGGAAAAAAAAAAAAAA